TATAATCACATGGTTTACTGCTTGCAAAGTAATGACCTCTTTTCTTCTCTGCCCCCCAGCTGCTCAGCTTCCCTCTAATTTGGCAGTTAGTGTTTAGTTTCTATAAATATGTATATGATGGTTAGTCAAAAAGTTGTTAAGTGCCGTCGAGTCGGTTCCGACCCGTAGTGACCCTGAACAGGGTTTCCAAGGCTGTAAATCTTTACAGGAATAGAAAGTCTCCTCTTTCTCCCATGGAGCAGCTGGTAGTTTCGAACTGCTGACCTTGTGGTTCAGAGCCCAATTCATAACCACTACGCTACCAGAGCTCCTTTAGTCAAAAATTATTACTATAAAATCATAGAAACCTTGATTTGAAAAGGTACTGTTTTTCCATCATATCCTCCATCTAGATCTATACATTTCTAAAGGTGGTGTTTCCATCTCTCTGACACTTCAGTTCTAATCTCTTCAATTTATACCATGGTAAAACAGCAGTTTTGGCATCCTCCAGGGTTTCAAATTGTGTTCCTTTGAAAAGTTATTTGGGTTTGGGGAACAAAAAGAAGTCTGAAGGGGCAGGATCTGGGCTGCAGAGTGGATGAGATAAGATTTCTCAAAAAAATTTTCATAAAACAGCACTTGGTACTATCAGGTGCATTGTCACAGTGAGAAAATGTTTCTTGGCATAATTTTCCTGTTCTTTTTCTTACCGATAACAGTTTTAAGTTTTCTTAAATTTTTTTCCTAATAAGTCCCCATGATTGTCCTATATTCCTTCAAGCAGATGCATCAAGATTTCCCTCTTGCAGTCTTCAAAAATAGTCTCTATAACCTTCTGAGCTGACCTGTGTGTCTTGAATTTAACTGGCCCAGTAAGTCCTATCAGAAGCACTTTTTTGAGCAGACTTTTTTTTTTTTTTTTTTTTTTTAAGCACGCTAGTAATAAGCAGTTGTTTGAACAGAACAAGGGAACACTGAATTGTTTAAAATTAGGAAAGTGGATGCCAGGGTTGTATTCTTTCAATCTGTATGCTAAGCAAATAATCTGAGAAGCTGGATTATATGAAGAAAAACCTGGCGTCAGGATTGGAGGAGGACTTTTTAACAACCTGCGATATGCAGATGATACAACCTTGCTTGCTGAAAGAGAAGAGGGCTTATAATACTTGCTGGTGAAAATCAAAGACTTTTGTATGAGTTGCATCTCAATATAAAGAAAATAAAAATCCTCACCACTGGACCAATAAACAACATCCATATAGATGGAGAGAAGATAAGTTGTTAGACTCCATTTTGCTTAGATCAACCATCAACATTCATGGAAACAGTAGTCAAGAAATCAAATGACGTATTGCATTAGGCAGATCTGCTGCACAAGACCTCTTTAAAGTGTTGAAGAGCAAAGATGTCAATCTGAAGACTAAGGTGCACTTGAACCAAGCTTTGGTATTTTCAATAACCTTATATGCATGTGAAAGTTGTATAGCAAATAAGAGAGACCAGAGAAGAATTGATGCCTTTGAGTTCTGCTGTTGGAGGAGAATGTTAAAAGTACATTGGTTTGCAAAAAGAACGAACATCTGTGTTGGGAAAAGTACAACCAGAGTGCTCCTTGGAAATCAGGATGATCCGACTTCATCTCTCTTACTTCAGACTTATTATTTAGTAGAGGGGAGGGTTGGAGAAAAAGAGGAAGACCTCCAGTGAGATGGATTGGCACACTGGCAGCAGCAATGGGCTTAGATGTATCAGCAATTGTGAGATTGGTGCAAGATTGGGCAGTGTTTTCATTCTGTTGTACACAGGGTCACTGTGAGTTGATACCAACTCGATGGCATTTAATAACAATAATGAGACTAACTGGATGGCAAAATACAAGATCAATGCTTCGAGCTCTGCCGAAGCCAACACTTGGGCCAACTGCCACATCCAACAATTGGCTATACTCCGTGACCCACACTGAGAGATTAAATCCCCCAGTAGGGGCTACGGGAGATGAGAAATAAAAGAAAGACATGAGTCACAATTGAAATATAGCAAAGTTGGGACCACGTGGGCCACAGCACTCTGATGGAGATACTGTGACACTGACCAAGGCAGTGAGTTTATTTTATACACAGTTCAAGGGGAGGTGCTTGGGGACAGGGAAAGGAAGAACATCTGGTGTTTTGATGCCTACAGTAAGTGGGACTTTATCAGAAGAATGTAGTTACTAGGGAAACAGAGATAGGGCAGCTAGAATGTTGTGCAGGCTGAGCCAAAGGACATAGCTGAATACAAGGAAAGACCTTGCAAGTTCCTAGACCCATTAGGCAGCCTTGCAAGTTCCTCAGGGTGAGGACTTTGACTTGGAAGCAGCCCGAGTTTCTGGACCACAACTGTTTAGTTGCAATCCTTCAGTTAAACTATCTCCAAATCAGGGACCTTCAGCTCAGCTGCTCCCAACATAGCTCACCAGTAGCTTTGGGGGGAGAAGAGAAGAAAAGGTTTCCTGCTTCTGCAAAGATTTACAGCCTTTTAACACTTTATAGGGTCACTATGAGTAAGAACCAACTTGATAACACTTAACAAGAATGACAGAATGAGACTAAGACAAGTGTATTGCATAGAGAACTTATCTGCAGCCATCCACTAACCACAGAAACATGTTTAAACATACTTTGTTTGGAATAAACTTGTGCATGTATAAACTGGAACCATAGTAGCAATACATTTTTGGCCTTTTTTTCATATGTAGGCAAATCTGTATACCTTTGTTCTCCTGTTCTTTACGCAAATGTATACATGTTAAATCTGCTTTGCATCTTGCTTTTTTCACTTTTATTATATAGTTGTTGTTAGTTGACACTGAATCAGTTCTTTCAAGGCTGTGACCTTGAAGCAGATCACAAGGCCTGTCTCCTAAAGTGCCTCTGAATGGTTTCAGACTATCAGTCTTTCAACTAGTAGTTGAGCTCTTAACCAGATGCCACGTCGGTGATCCTAGCAATAAAAGGGGTCTTCAATAAGTTGGTGGAAAAATGGAATTGAAAGACAATGGAATTTTTCCACAAATTCTGTGTAGTCCCTTTGAATAGTTTTTGTTGTTAAGTGCCGTTGAGTCGGTTCTGACTCACAGCAACCCTGTTTAGGTTTTCTAAAGAGTGGCTGATGGGTTAGAACCATACAGTTCAAATGAACTTTGTGTTTGAAAGCTTATTTTACAGAACCACATATCTCAATAAATATTTGTTGACTCTTTATGAGCAAGAGTATGGACTCTTAAACCAGAACTGTCTTGATCCAAATCCCATCTTTGCCACTGTTTGTATGACCTTGGCCAAGTTACTCGACCTACTACTTGTGCTTTTTTTGGTTCTAAAATATGAATAATATAAATAGTACCTGTCTCCTAAAGTTGTTAAGAGAATGAAATGTGTAAATAAAATGATCCTCAAATACAGTATCAGTAGCTAACATGTCCTACCATCGTTAAAATTATTGCTACTATTATTGCCATTATTCCACATTAGCACATATAGATGTGTGTGTGTGTGTGTATGTGTGTGTATGGGAGTATGGTGGTTCTCTAGGGAAAGCACTGGACTGCGAGCCACACAAGATTGGCAGTTTGAGCTCAGCTTCCGCTTCGCAACTGAAAGATGAGCTGTCTGCTCCCACAAAGATTTACAACCTTGGGAACTCTATGTAGGGTTGCTGCCAAGAGTCAGAATCAACTTGATGGCATTTAACAACAACAGAGATGATCTAGTTCAATTTCTTGTCACCAGTTACCTTAGTGTAAGAGAACGTAATGTGTACAAAACCATTGTGTGAAATGAAAAGAATAAATGGGTGTAATAATTTCTCTAAAATCAGCCAAAATATAAAAATGTATATTAAAAAAAATAGATGTACTTTACAGCAAGGATCATTCCCACCCCCTCCATACACAGAGTAGACAGGGATGGGCAACTTGGACATTGGCTACCCAAAATGGCAGGGGCAGGGGCTACAAAGGCAAGAAGTGACTGGCTTACAAGCTTTCAAGAGGGAACCTAGATCCAGAGGGCATGAAAGAAGGTAGAATCTCCACTGAGTAGTATCCAATCTGTCTAGGCAGGACTGATAAAATGAAATGTGGATAGGTCTCTTGTGATACAATAGGGAGTAATTGTTATCAGGACTGATTGTGAGGGTTGGAAATGTAAAGATAGATGTTTTGTAGCAAGGAGGGGAGTGATTCACTTTGCAGTCTAGGAGCGGAGGCCCTTGGGACCATCAAGGTAGAAGAGTGAAGTGCAGGACCCTACCCAGAGAAACAGTGATGCCAGAGATGGAAGCAGAGACAATGATGTGGAGAGATGGAGCAGCTGGGGACTTTAGACCCAGAGAGGGAGAGGGGCTGTGTGCTGATGGGGGTTGGGGGGTGGCAGGCTTGTAGTGTATACCCTTTGGTTGGTTGATGTTGCATGGAGGGGATTGTAACCACGGCAATGAAACGACCATAGCATGAATGTAAAACTAATGTTCTTCATGTAAACTATCACATAATTCACAATAAAACATTAAAAAAAAAAGATGTAAATATCTGTAATTATTGTAACTTTTTAATTTTAAAAGTTAGAATCATATAAGTAAAATAGTGATAGGTTTTAGGTTCTTTTTTTTTCTTTCTTCAATGTAAGTAAGCATTTTGTGCATTTTTAAAAACAGATTGAAATTTAATTTGAGATGATTTGGTTTCTGGTGTGCTAATTTTGCTATCTGTTGTCCTCAAACATTTTTTCTTTCTTTTTTGCTTCATATTTTAATGCATTCTTGTTATTATTTGAAATTAATCTCTTCTGTTACGTACGAATCCATCGATTATGGAAACAGAAACAACAACTTCCTCTGAACAGTTCTTTTCCAACTTTGGTAGCATTAAGAAAAATGTAGTTTTTTTCTGCCTACCTCAATTTTGATTACACCTACTTGTGTAAATACTGTAAATGCTGAAAATTTTCACATGCCAGTTACTGTATTTTTTACTCTAGGTACTTACTGCAACCAAAAGACAATGGAAATAAATCTTCCAAAACTGATGACCTGGGGTCTCTTCGGTTAAATATATATTACACAGAAGACTGTGTGCTTCCTTCGGAGTATTATGGCCCTTTGAAAACTTTGCTGCTAAAATCACCAGATGTCCAGGTACTTTAAAAACACTACAATGATGAGGAAAAGATTTCAGAAAATCAAGTCTTAGTAGATACACATTTTGATTAAATATATTTAATTTAATTTATATGCATCTATGGACAAATATCTTTGATATCCCATGCAAGTAAAGTTTTACTAAAGGTAATGTAGAAATGGCTGCAAGCATACGTTGACAGAGAACTTCCAGAGGTTCAAGCAGATTCAGAAGAGGCCGTGGAATGAGGGCTATCATTGCTGATGTCCAATGGAT